GAAAACAACTGTGGATTTTCCCTTTTACCCGAGAAAAGAGTGGATTTTTAATTTTAACAGAGAAACACAAGGATTTTGCTCTTTTTGCAAACAGCATTCTGCAGGCTGGCAGCGTTCCAACCTGCAAGAGGCTAGTGGGAGCAGGAGGGCGGCAGTCAGGTAGGGGTTGCCATGTACATGCATGTGGCCACCAGGCAGCCTGGAGTGCAACTGCTGTAGCAGGTAAGTCTGGTGGAGGGGGGTAGAATTGAGACCCCCATAGGGAGTGGGGGAGGGAGTTGGACAGGGCTGGGGCTGGGGCTGGGTCTGCTACCCAGCTGGGCAGTGCATGGGGCTCAGGGCCCAGGGTTGCAATGTGTGACTGCAGGGCCCTGGCAGAGAACAGGACAGAGCTGCAGACAGGTTGTCCAGGGGGTGGGGTTGGGGCTGTGCATACTCCTGGGCCAGCAGGGGGGCACATGCCCCCCAGGTCTGTCTGTGTGGCGTGGGGGCAGGGGTGGAGACGGGCTGCCCACTGTGGGCTCAGGCTCCCCTGCTGCCCTCCCCCAGGGCCTCTGCATCCCAATGAGCAGGACATGGCATGGCAGAGCAAAGCAGCTTGTTACGGCTATTACAACCCCCGTTTGTTACGGGGAAGCTTGTTATGGCTATTACGAGCCCTGTACAACCCTGTGCCACCGCGACCTCTGCTGCAGGGCAGGGAGGGGGTGCATCGGCATTGGGCTCAGAGCAGCCACAATGAGCTTTCCCACCTGGCCCTGCTCTGCCCTGTCATGCTGGGTCCTGCCTGCTGGGTGCTCTGATTTTCCATGATAACCCAAAATAAAATATCAACATTTATAGGTACTTAGAGTTTATTTTACTATAGTGATTGAGGCAGTGTTAGGCTTCCAAACTGCTTTAAAATTGTAAATATACCAATTAAACATTGTGTTGAATTGTTACATATATGTATAGTGGCTTTTCATTTTAATCACTGATTTGGGGTTTTTTATCTGAGAATTTGCAGTTTTTATCAGAGAATTATAGATTTGTTATCTGGGAAAACCAGGATCCCTGGTTAGAGCTTCAGACAGCGGCATATCGCAAGATGAAGTTCTAGATGCCGCAGAATGGGATTCTTAAACTGCTTCCCTGCCTTTCTCAACAGAGAGGCCTGATACTGTAGACAAACTCTGAGTATGCCTCAGTCAGATACAGGGCACCCGGAAGTGAAAAGGCAGCACAACACCCAAAGAAAAGGTATTTAAGGAGCGAGGTGTGAGCATGTGTGTGCATGTATTTGTCTGCGTGCATGCAGGTGACTAAGGTACGCAGTTGGAATGTGGGAGACCAGGGTTTTAATTCCTCCTCCAAATCAGCCACAGCAGTAATTTAAGTGCCTGGGCAGATGAGTTGCCTACCTGGTTAGATAAAGATTAGATATTTAGCCAGGTCAGCAACTTACCCTTTTCCCATCTGTATTTCACTCCTCAGGTGGCTGTATGTCTTCCTCAGCTGACTGCGTGAAAGTAGTCTAGTTGTCCATGGGAGCTTTACCAGAGTGACCAAATATACTAGTTTTGTTTTGTCCCTTTCTCTCCTACTCTAATCCAAGGCTCATAGAAAATATGCATAGTTTAGATAATTTGAAAAAAAAAATCCACCAATCCCGTAGGGCTTTATTCTAATTAACAGTGATTTATCTCAAAGTCTGTTTGCTCTGTACCTTAATGATACCCATACAAGACCCGGTTCTGCAGGTCCTTAATCATTCGAGTATTTCCTCTGAAGTTAATAGATCTACCTTTTGAGATCAAGGGCTGGACAAGCCAATAAAGGTTTGTGGAATCAGCCATCTCCTCTGTACACTGAAGCATGGCAGGTAAACGTATCAGCCATATGTTTTTTAGCTGTGGTAATAGTCTTGGCAATTAATCCCTACATAAGCTTCAATAATCACATCATATATGGAATGATATGTGAGATGTGGATATTCCCATATGTCAAGATCTGAAAAATTCACAACCCATTTGTAGATCACCCTATAAAAATATATGTACTGGCAAGTCAAATACAAGATTTAAAAAAAAAACAAACCTGTTAGTTTTCCCATACTTTTCTGAAGGGCTCAGTTTTTGAGCTTCTTGTCAATTCCTGCATGCTCAGTAACATTCCAAAGAGCAAATTTATTTCTTGTCAAATGTAAAGGGGAATATTGGTTCCTTACATCAGTGCAAACTGAGTGTATAACATTATCATTTGACGTAGTGGTACTTTATGGTCAATTTAGGCAGGATTAAATGACTACACGTGGTGTAAAGCAGGGGACTATCAGGGCTGTATCTTCATTAGTACCAAGTACAGAAACTCAAAGTGAGCAAGCAGGAAGGATATAGAATGTTAAAGTACAAATATGAGTGATATCTTACTACTTACCTAAGTAGAAACAATTGTTGCTAGAATGAACTACTACTGAATTTGAAACCTGTTTGCCATCTCTGTTTTAAGGGGGAAAAATATATGTATGTGTATATGTGTGTGTGTGTGTGTGTGTGTGTATAAATAAAGAAATTATAAATAAAAAAATAAAACTTTACTAATTTTTCTTGATGTTTCCTCTGCAATGTGCATTTATAGTATTTATTGTAGAAGACTGTGCTAGAAAAAGTATCTGCTGTTCTTTTTATAGAAGCACTGAACACAGAAGTGATTAGAGCTCCACAGGTCTGAACTTGTACTATTACTCTAGTGACATGGCTTATCAAACTCAGTCTTGATGTCCCCCAGTTATTTGATCTGTAGGAAATTACTGTACACTGGAAGAAAGTTACTAGGGACTAGCTTACCAATAATGCAATTGATTCAGGGCTGTTTTCTAAAGCTTACAAATGAAGAGCAAACCATGCTCATTACTAATAGATCTATTGGTGTGGGCATGGTAGGCAAAGGTCAGAGTTAGGTCAGGAAACACTTCTTGGTCTTAGTTGTTAGGCATAATGCACAGAGCTGAAGAGGGTTGGGGGTTGTACTTGATATGGCATTTGAGCCCAGGCCCATAGTTATTCTGACTGTTGCTGTAGGGTCTAATTTTTGAACATTTTTATACTAAAGTCAAAAGCTTCCTGCTGCAAACCTTGAGCAACGCTTACTTAATCATCAGCGGCAGAGATTTCAAGTGTGCCTTTGGGTATTTACTCTTAATATTAAAGGGACATTTAAAAAAGGTAATGAATTTTATTAATTTGTGTATGTTGTATCTGAGATAACACTTAACCTCTCTTTAGCACTTCACATCTGCAGACTGTTTTGCAGTCTTTAATTAATAGTAATTAGACACTTGCAAAACTTCTCCTAATTCTGTATTCAGAGGAGCTGAAATGCATTTTAGAATTTACTCTCCATTAAATAGGGACCATTTTACATATCTGACATATGATGCCCAGTCTTGTTGGGTTGATGCAGGGGTAAGTTCTGGGGGTTATGGTAGCACAACAGAACTTCAGTCTAACCGGCACTCACTACCAGTCAGTCTCTGGATATGCAGGAGATCTCTGGGATGAAGATGTGTGTAACACTCTTAGAACTGAAGTCTACTGAGGAAGACTCATTCTCAGTTGGGGGGTAAGCAGTTGAATACTCTACCCACTCCACCTTCCCATGACTATATAACAGGAACACTTGGGTGCAACTGATCCTGATCTGATCTTTGTGCCGGAGAGAATTGTAGATAGGTTTGTTTGGGGACAATTCCAATACCATAGGTTTTCATGCTGATTTATGGTTATGGCTGCAGTGTTCCTTGAAAGAGATTTGAATTTACCTGCATTTACAATTTTGGTCAAAGGGCATGTTGCAGACCCTTGTTTAAGTGCTCTAAAGGGTAACCACCACCCACCATACTGTTAAAGAGGATTGCTAAAATAACAATCATTTCACTTCTTCCCTTGACACTTTCTCTCTGTTGTTATATCCAAGCATTTTTTTAAAAAAAAACATAGTGTCTTTTGTTAATTCCTGCCAAGAGCTCTGGCCAGGTGTCCTTCTATCTCTTCTTCCTCATTGTTTATTCTGCTATTTTTTTGTACCCTAATGCTCCCTTTCAATAACAAGATCTTTTTTTTCTCACCCAAATGACAACCCAACTCGTTTTAAAAACCTAAAACACATTAAATAACTGTTCCAAGAACATTTTCCCTTTCCCCCTCATGGTTAATTAAGCAGCTCTCCATCTTCGCTTCCTAGGTATTATAGCTCCAATCTAACAACAGGTTTAAGTATATGCATAAATACAGCTTGTTTAAGGATCTGCTTAATTTTGGGCATGTAAGTAGTCCTGTTAGCTTAATCAGTTATTTATATAATACCTACAGAAGGCTTCTCTGACATATATAAGCTAATATCCTCCTTCCAAAGCAGAAAGGACAGGCACTGGTCCAATAAATCATTTCAACATGGGTTTAATTTGAAGCACATAAGTAATCTTTCTTTGAAGTCATGGTTTCTAGATTGTAAGCTCCTTGGTACCAGTGAACTGGCATTGTGTATGTGGGGCACCATGCATGTGACACTCAGTGGGTGTGTCTACACAACATGTCACTTAAAAGGTATTTGCCGTTGCTACGGTGCAGTAACTCCAGTTACTGCACATTTATTTAGTACTTGTTTATACAAGTACTAAATACATCCACAGTAACCACTACAAAGTAGTGTCTCATGTAGATACACCCAGTGAGACTTAAGCTATTATGCAACTTGGATTATTTGGAAATGTTACTTTAAAACTCAACTAAAATGTAAGTATAGACTTTTTTGTTTCAACACCATTACATTCTTGTTAATATATTTGATTTGTAATTATTGAAATTATGCTTCATTTAAAACTTGCATGGAAAAAACAATGTCTGGTGGTCTGTCCACAGAAGTGGAAGTTAGGACCTCCTGCTATGAGTTTGATGCTCCCTTTGGACAAGTAACTTAGGCTCTTTATTTTTGGTATGACAGTTGCAAATAATAAATACTTGCCTGTTTCACGGGGTAGTGTGGAGATTAATTAATTGGCTTATGCATTGCTTGATACATAGAAAATATTAAGGTACAACTAATTAGTTTTAAATAGTAGAGGAAAAAAACTTTTTTGGTGGATACAGGACAAATTTCAGCACAGTAGGCATTTTTATTATGAAGCTATAAACCCATGAAAATAGAATTTATAATAGAAATCCTGACAGAGCTATAACTGTACCGTAGCAAACAAGATGCCGTAATAAAAGTACCTGAGACTCGGAGGCTAAATTTACTGCAAACAGTGGTCTACTTTGACAAGGTAAATATACTGAAAGTCAAAAGAGAGAGCCAAATGGAAAATCTTCATGATTAGAAAAAAACCAAGAGAAAAGGTAAATTAGATAACTGGCATTCAGTTTGGATTTAGTAATAATAAAAAAAGAATGGCAATAAATTGTTACCTTTATGTGAGTGCCTTAATATAGTGATTATAAAATTAACCAAGTGCAAGAAGAAAGATGTTTCTGCTGAAAATGCTAGTTACAGACATGATGGCATTAACCAAAAGTGCTATTCTTTCTATCCCAAATAAAAAGTAAAACTGACAAGAAGACAAGTTTCATCAGAAGGTTTAAATTGCTTCCTTTCTGCACTGGATTTAAACCCAACCCCCTTTTCCTGAAAATGGAGCTCTTGGACCAAAACCTGGGCTTTTCAGTTTGGGTAAAGATGGTGTGTGTATTTTGGGGGAAAAGGAGGGTGCAGGTGTGGGAGAGACAGTCCAAAACTTTGCTCTGAAGCAGGAAGACCAGAAATTAAGATCTGAGTCTATAACATTGCCAACCAGTGCCCTACGCACTGGGATTTAGGGTATGAGAGAATCTTTCTCTGACAAAACTGATCCAAAATGTTTTAGCTTCAACTAAACAACATATTTCATACTGCTGTCTGAGCCTTCAAAATCCACTGACAATCTGGGGTAGTCCTTCCTTAACGCAATTTTGGGTTTTGGGAGCATGACTGAGGTAAGAGACTAGAATTTATTTCCAGAACTTCCTATGCATGTGGTGTGGATTAACTCCTTTTGGACACCACAACCCCTCTTACGCATCCAGAATTGGTGGTGTAGCTTCCATAGGCCAAACTCATCGATAGTTGCCTGGCTTCTACTGAAGAATCCTGTTGCTGGAGGGGTCAGTGGAAACCCCTGGAGACAAGGACCACTGCAATCTCATGCTTTTATGAACTACTTCTTTGTTTGTCTAAGGTGGTGGGGTTGATCTTATTTTCTAGGGGTAATGTTATTACCTATGAATCGAAAAGATAAGATCCATTATTCTTGTCAAGCATGTGCAGACTACTGAATGGTTATTTTAGAAGAAAAGTGAACTGAATGTTCCAAACTGTCAGAGTTGGCATGGAAACACCTCTAATAACTGAATAGCTTACCACAATTTTTACTGTCTCTCTGTTTGTCAAACACACGTGGGAGCCAGGTTGGTGGTTTTGAATTACTGATCATGCATTGTTCCATGATTGGTGGTTAAGCAGTTACCAACTATATACTGTGTAACTCCTGCTTCTCTAATATTTTCCTAAAGATTGAATATTAAGGTAAGCTACTGGTCATTATACTAAAGATACGTACATTTTGCAGATTGCAAAAGCAAAAAAATTAGCAAACCCCAATCTTGTACTGATATTGTTAATTACAGTTGTGATTTTAAACTCTAGAGATCAGAAGGGGCCAAAATCTTTGGCAAGTATGCCATCAATTAAATTAAGCCCTGCATCACCCCCTACCCCAAGTGCCACTCTGATCCTCTTCCCCTTCTGTTCTGCTTGCTAATCCCTGCCATATCTGACATTGTGCAGCTTTTCCTTCTTCCCCCCTGAATCTGCTACATGCTACCCACAGTCTGCCTGTGCCACTTTTGGCAAACATACCACAGATTGGACACTCCTGCTGTAGATCAGGGCCAAAAATTTATAAACACCATTTTTTTCCCTTGCGGTAGGGAAGAGAGATTGAGCTTTACAAAATATGTCTGCAATTATGCTGTCAGGCAGCAGTGGACTGTGAAGTATCACACTCATACTTCAAGTGCTATGTCCAAAACTGAATGTAGTGTAGCTGCCTCAGTGTGATGCTGTGTTCATGCCAATAAGATCCACTAACTAGCTTACTGATTTGACTTTATCGTGTATATGCAGCTCTATTTGGAGGTAGCGCTACAACTTCTGGCTTGGAAGGTAGTGAGGCAGCACTGTATTGAAACATGCTTTAGTATTGCAGCTGACTTTATAGACATACCCACACTGTGTAAAGACATGGATCAAATGTACTTCAGGCTCTCCACTTTCTCTTGTGATAATGGGCATCAGTCTTAATTTCTTCCCATGGATTATAATATCCTCAGTGTTTTGAAAACTTTGGTTTCTAACTTTGTAAAGGGAGATAGTTTATAGTAGTGTTCTGGAACCTGTGATGATCCAGGGAATATCAAGCAGCAAGATTTGTTTAGTAATATCTTTTACTGAACCAACTACATCATCCCTGGATATTTAGTCTCTGCAGAGGCAGTCTGATTAAAAGATATTACCAAACAAATCTTACTGTTTGATAGAGTGTGGCTGCCAGTATATTACACTTTGTTTTAATCAACTTATAACACATGTTCCTCAGGTCAAATATAATATCTATGACACATTTATTAACCTTTTATAAACTATTTATATATGCACATCTCCACTGGTCACAAACTCATATGTACTTAATACATCCAGTCACAACTAGGTACTTGAATGATTCAAATTCCTAATAGTTCTAGTGAGTAAAGTTGGCTAAGTAATTATGCTTTGATGATTATGTTGAGAGGAAGCTCAAGCCCATCTAAAGGAGCTGGGCTGCTGTAGCTAATCTACCATGTATGGTGACTAATTTCATTAGAGAACCAGAAGTAAAATGGAAATGTTGCATTAGGAATATGTGCAAAAGAAATTTGCTGTTGTCAAAATGTTGAGCCCAGGGGCAGCACAAAGAAGGGTGAACAAAGAAATGAGGCTGTCTTGTAGATGGCACCAAATTGGGAAGAATGGCTGACACAACATGGTGTGGAAAAAGTGACTCGGAAGATCATGCCCTGTCAGTTGATCTTAATTAGAAAACAAGATACAGCAGAAAAAAAATAATGGTGGTTGTACTGCACTCTGCTCAGGGGCGATGGTATCATCGTAGATCAGTTTGACATTACAGGGATTATTACAGTCCAGTTAGCAGAGATGCAGGATGGTATGACAGCATTTTAATCCTGTTTAAAGGTTACTGTATTTACTCAAATAGAAGATTATCCTGATTATAAGAAGACCCCCAAGAATTTGATTCCATCCCTGGAAACTTTATAAATTTGTTATAATTTTACAGGTATAGAATGTAATTATTGGAGATTTGCCTTGAGTTTGTCCCCTTTCAGGGAAAATAAATCTGGGGGGGGGGGCAGGTAGACCCTTTGCTCTCTGCTTTTTCCTCATCTTCTTCCCCTAGCAGCCCCTTACTGTCAGACCCTGTTCTCTCTAAGCTCATAGAAGTGAGAAGGAAATCTGAAAACAATAACCTTGAAATTAAACATGGCTGTAGCATTTGGCATACAGTACCCATGCACTTAATTTATCCAGAATTGATATATGTTACCTTTTCTTTGAAACTGCTGCAAGTTTTAGCACAGGTATTCTATTAACACACTTTTGGGCCGTACTTTAGTACCTACTTATATGTAGTACAAACTATGCATAACATTATTCCAAAGCCAGAGGTTTGTGATTTATCATGTAGTTCAATGGGCTGGGCCTCAACAGAGTCAACAATATTTAAAACCATGGTGACCCCACAGCTCAGCATTGCTCAGTATGTGTGTGTACTCCACATACCCCCCACAAAGGATCCATGTGCTAATTAACTCCCACTGATGAGTGGAACTGGGTCTGCTAGTCGCAAGTTCTGAGTTGCTCCAAAAATTTATATGCAGATGAGGTTCAGGGCAACTGGGTCTGGCTTCACCTCATGGAGGGCAGGAGCACACTAATTATATGCACCAGGCTGAGAGAGAAGTCAACGGGATTCTGGATGAAATGTTTGGGGCCCTGTGTCATGATGTTTGCCTGGCATTTACAGCTATTAAAGAAACAGCAGTCATTGGAAATGGGAAAGAAAGGCACAGTTCAACTATGGGAGTGAAGAGGACATCAAAATACATGCAATGTAGTGGCTCACCATGACTTGAAAAAGAGTCAGTGCTATATCTTTGTCAAGTGGGCTACAGTAACCTATCTTTGTGGTAGGTTCCCATTAGCATTTTTGGCACCAGGGGAGAGCTTGCTCCATCCTCTCCAAATGCCATGCCAGCCTGGTATTGCAGTACCTCCAGGCCCGATGCTTATTCCCTCCTGTGGGAGCAACTGGCCATGTTTTAAAGGGCTATACCAAAAAAACAAAAAAAGAGGTTTCTATCAGTACGTTTGCCCAATATGGACCATGTGTTTTATAGCCATGCTCAGAGTTGGCTGTATTTAATCAAGATCATAGTTAGTTTCCATTGCTAAGCATATGCTGCTTTTGGCAACAGTTTAATGATAAATAATGTATTTAGTGAAATTTCCTTTTAAACAATTATAAGATGAGGGCTTTTTTCCCCATGCCAATTGAGGGGCAGAAAAAAAAATCTCATCTTTTATTTGAGTAAATGTGGTATATATGTAAAGACATGTTAAATAGCTGGCATGTAGGTAAGCCTAACTTTTGTGGCATTTGGTCATGTGTTAGATGGGCAGTGGTAGGACTGTGAAGCAGCAGTAGGACTGCTGGGGGAGGAACAGAGACTGTGACTGTAGTGGTGTCAAGGTGGGCCAGGTTGGAAGTGGCTGATGCTCAGAAATCAGTTCTGTTAGTGTCCCCATGCTCCAAAATGTTGCTGACACCTGCCCTAAGCCACTGAAGTCAGTCCCTTGCTGTTATTGGCACCATATTAAATAATCCCTTCTGTGAACCGGTCAAGTTGTGTCTTAAAAGTATTTAAATTGCTTTCCCCAACAACTCTCCCTGATCTGTTCTAGCACTTCACTTCTCTGATGGTGTGGAGCCTTCTTCTAATTTGCAGCCTAAAACTATTCATAGATAGCTTTTTGTCCCCCTCAAATCTGCTCTTGTGCCAACACTGTCATTTAGCTTAAATGGTGTTTACTCCTCCTAATGCAGGGTGGATCCTGGGAGGAGGGTGATGCAGTTACACCCTTCTTCTGTTGTGTAGTCCAGTGAACTCTCCCCAACATACCAGGTGGGCAGAGGATGGGTCAGGCAGGAGGCAGGGAGTGGGAAGAGGAAGGTGGTGTGGCGGGCCAGTAGGGAGTGCTCCTGCACTGAGCCACCCGCCTCACTGTGCCTGACCACCTTCCAGGCTCTGAGTGTCTCCCTGGGGGTGCCTCACATCTGGCCGACTCCCTTCCTGGAGCACACCCACAAGCCTGGGGGTAACACTGCTACTACCTAGCGTCTGGGCTGATCTTGGCCCTGTGCCCCACTAGGAAACACAGGCCTAGTAGTCCTTGGGGGGTACTTGACTCACTGCAAGAACTTGGGGTGGTTTCCTCAGTCTGAAGCACAAATAGTGGTCTCCTTTAGTCAGTCAAACCAAGGGGTCCCCAAGGCATAATCTAGACCCTCTCCCAATAAATCTGTCATGCCAGGTACAGAGGAGAAATTTGTGGGTTCCAGGGAGTAGGTTTGGAATAGAGTACAGTGTAGAGCAATACCTTAGAGCAAACAGTGGCATGGTAGCTTTTGATCATGCATCTGAGTTACTGCAAGCTATATATGTAGTTAGATCTCAAGTAGTTTACTCACAAATGTCATCCAGAGACAGGTGGAGATTCTCTTTGGAGGCAAGCAGATCATTGAACATGAGTTTCAAGAAAGAGAGCAAGTTTCAGATGGTCCAGCTTCTCTGAGAATTCTCTTCCTGGCTGCTGCCCCCCCTCCTGGGCAGTCTTTAACTTATACAGACCTTATGGCCTCATTTACCTGATCCAATGAAGGCCAACAGTTGTTGGCTGCCAGCCAACCAATTTGAAAAGCATCACTGGTTGCTGGGTAGACTGGCAGGGTCTCTAGCCCCCTCCCAGTTATGATGACATTGCGTAGAATAATAGGGAGTTTAAGTCCCCCCACCCAGGTATGTGAGCCCAGTCATGTAGGCAGAGAGAGCAGGTTTCCCCCTCCCTCAGGAATGTATCCAGCTCAGGTTACAACTTACCTGTAGCCAATGGGGCCAGGGGTGTCTGCCCTCTTCAGTGACCATAGTAATCAAATTGTCAGATTGGTCATCAGCCTGATAGCAGAGTCTGGGGATAAACAGAGATGGCCTTCTGCCACAGGTGGGACCTGCTTGTTGCCTTCTCCCTAGCCAAGCTCAGCACCTCATGCAGCTGCTTCCGGGAACTGGAGCCCCCAGACTGCTTGGGGAAACCCGGGGGAGAGCTGGGGAGGGATCACAGACCCATCCATTGCTGCTGTTGCCATCTATGGCCAAGCCAAGCACCCTGCATAGCCACTGCCTGGAGCTGGAGTCCTTGGGAGCAGGTGCAGGAAGGAGGGCACATACCTGCCACCACTGTCTGTGTCTGCAGGCAGAGGCTCAGGGCCATTGCTGCTCTGCTTTGGAACTCTGGTCAGTGGCTGCATGGGGTGCTGGGCTAGGCTACAAATGGCAGCAGCAGTGGGTGGTCCCATCTTCCTGCACCTGCACCTTGCCTTCACTCCTCCCCTCTCCCAGGTTTCCTGCATGGGCCCAGAGGTTAGAGCCATGCCTCACCTCCATCTCCCCCATGGTTGGATTGCACCATCCTTTTTAAAATCCTGGATCTGGCTATGTCCTTATGTATTTATTGAGAGCAATCATTTCCCTTCTCAACAGCTGTTTTGTTATCTGAATAAGTCAATTCTTTAGGGGTAAAAAGTGGGGATTCGTCCAATTTAAAGCTGGTCAAAATTTGTCATACAAATAATTTCCACAGTGAAATGGCCCTGTCTCGAGAGAAGGATGCCTAACAAAAATTGATGCCTTTGGACATTTTTTGTGTTTTTATTAGTTTCAGTGACATTTTGCTGATGTACATAACCAATTGTTTAGTGAAAATTGTGTTTGAAGTTGAGTGTGCCTGTATATAGAAAATGGAAAATGGATCTTTCTGAATGTTCTCATGGTAAAATTGGGAAAATGTGCCCTCGACTACTTTATGGTTACCTACTTTTAGGTAACTGGCTCTGAGGTAGGACCCAGAGAGTATTAATAGACAGAACTGAGTCAACATGGCAGAAGGTGGCCAGTGGTGTTCCTCAGGGTTCAGTACTTGGTCCAGTGCTTTTCAACATGTTCATCAATGATTTGAATTAGGGTGTTTAAAGTATCCTGGAAAGTTCACAGACTATACCACATTATGGGGGAGTGCGGTCACACTTGAGGACAGGCTGGGGATATAGGCTGACCTGGACAGGGTAGCAAGGTGGGCAGATCAAAATCTGATGATGTTTAACACTGAGAAATGTTAAGTGCTGCATCTGAGGAGAAATAACCTGCAACACACTTACAGGGTCAGTGGTGCTAAACTTGCCAGCACCACAACTGAAAGAGATCTGGGGGTCATAATAGACCACAGAATGAATGTGAGCCATCAATGCAATGCCGTAGCTGGCAGAATGAACAGAACACTGGTATGCATCTACTGATGCATCTCAAGCAAGACTAAGGGTGTCATCCTCCCTCTCTACTTGGTCTTGGTAAGACCACAGCTGGGGTACTGCATCCAGAAGGATGTGGGGAAGCTTGAGAGAGTTCAAAGGAGGGTTACACGTGATTAGAAGTCTAGAGAGCAGGTCAAATGAGGAGAGGCTGAAAGACACGGGACTGTTCAGCCTGGAGAAAAAACAGACTGAGAGGGGACTTGGTGGCAGCTTATAAGTATATCAAGGGTGTACACCAGGGCCTGGGGGAGCATCTGTTCACCAAAGCACCCCAGGGAAAGACAAAAACCAGTGGCCACAAACTTCTTGAAGATCACTTCAGATTGGACAGAAGAAGAAACTTCTTTACGATTTGAGTGCCTAGGGTCTGGAACAGACTTCCCCCAGAGGTGATACAATCGCCTACCCTGGAGATCTTTAAAAAACAACTTGATGCGCATCTTGCTGGGGTCATCTGACACCAGCAGTCTTTCCTGCCCCAGTGCAAGGGGGCTGGGTCCGATAATCCTGTGAGGTCCCTTTGAGCCCCTAACATCTATGAATCTGTGAAACAGAGACTGTATAGGCCCGTAAGTTAGGAGTTCAACCATCATTATTTTAAGCAATGTTAAGCTATCATAACTTCCCAAATTCAAGGAGTAGGTAACAGCCAGATGAGTTCATCTGATGATATGGGTTGTAGTTAAGGGGTGTTTTGTAGGCCAGTTTGTTGGAATGTTGTGCGGTGAAGAGGCAGATCTGGGATGTGGGTGAGGAGTAGGTTGTGACGAGGGGCTGGGGAAGGTGGGAATGGGCAAGGAGCCAATGGGTGTGGTGGAACTCTATTAGTAAAATGCGGCAGAAAGACTGGCACTGACACCCATGCAGGCTGCAGTGACACGGAGAAGAAGACTTGAAGCTCGTGGGTGATAGGGGATGTTCTTCAAGCTGAATGTTGTATTCTACCTCAGCTTGACTGATGAAATCCCAGTCTTCACATTAAGCTTCAGTCATACCTGTACAATGCCAACAACCTATGTGCACTTGAACAGGAGAGATATATGGCTAATTTGAAAACAACAGGGCTGTACAGCTGAGAGGGCTTAACTAGCGATGCACAAAAAGATGTGCGTCCCACTTAGAGGTTCCACTGGGCTAGGCTGGGTCTGGCCCAGAGGGACCAGCACTCTGCAGGATTGAACCTTGAAAGAAGTAATGATTTGCCCTCTGGAGCCATGGAATGATGTTTACCACAAAAGGAATGGACACAAGAACATCCACACAAGCCCTTCCTGCACAGCAGACTCACAAAGCGCTCACTACCACACTATTGCAAATGTAGGATTTTTAATGTAAACAAAAGATATTGTGGATTATATTTCTGAAGGAAAGGGCTCTGATTCCAACAGAGTTTGTGCCTCCATAAAGGAGGCCAGAGTATTTTTTTTAATTATAAATTGTGTTGGAGACTAGATGATAAACATGTAATCTCATGATGCCATTTTACACAGTCACTTTCTAGTGTGGAACTGTATTTTAGCAGCTAACACTAGGGAACATTTGATTCTGACTGAAACCATAATGACTAGTTATATCATGAATGGCAGAGCAATCACATCTTACAAGACTTGGCAGTCTTTCAAGACAGCTTATAAAATGCAAGGAATTTGAAGGTTCTTGGAACCTAAGGATGCTCTCACTGCTGATTAGGTCAGTACGGTAAATCAAACTTTTGATCCTGAGAAACAAAATGGCCATAAATTTGTGAATGGTGGACTAAACTTTGGGTTGAATGAGTGCCAGTGCTTTTTACCTCAATTGCTCAGAGATTGAGAAAGAACATACTCATATTTATTACTGCCTTGCACTTCAGAGGGCTTCCTCAATCCTGATTTTTAACTTTGGCTTTTCTCAGGTGGCTTCCATCATCTCATGGCCTCTACTCTACTTCCTTCTTCTCTGAGTGAGCCTTTATGACTGTGTAGATTTGTGATAAAGCTGCAACAATCTCAACTGCTCTGTGATTCTTTTGTTTGGTGACAGGTACATTTCCCCTTCCCCCCTACCTGTCTCACACCTATTTTTTTTCCACCCCTCTGATCCTCATTGCCATGCATTTGCATTTTCACAGACCTGCATTTTGGCTTCTATTCTACTCAGGAGAACGCACAACTCACCAGTAGAGTCTCTATATGCCTGAAGAAGGGTATTTGTGCCCCAAAACTTGCAAAGAACAATTTTTCCAACTATTTAGTTGGTCTAATAAAAGATATCACATCTACCCAAAGAACCTTGGCTGGCCAGGAAAAGAAATACACACTCCAAGGATAGTGTGCCTCACTGACACTAGCCTGTTTCTCTCTTTCCCACACTCTTAAGATTTTTCCCTGTGTGGGTAATTTCCTATTTTTAGGTTATTGGTAGGAGTGTGTGAAACAGGCCATATTTGATTTGGATTTGGATCTAGCCCAAATCAGGGGACAGTGATTCAATAAATTGATTTGGATCACTGTCCTGATTTGATTCGGCCAAATCTGAATCTGAAGATTCAATGGTAATTCAGAGAATCACTGATTTGGCCATAGACACAGCTTTAAATGCTTTTTCTACATACCTCAAGGTACCAGGCGACATGTGAATGCCAAGATGGTGGGGCGGATGGAGCGTCCCATGGGAGCATGGGGGGTGAGTGCTCCATGGTGGACCTGGAAATAGACCGGAAGTGCTTCTGGTCCACTTCTAGGTCCACTGCTGAGCGCACTGGGGACATCCCCATACTCCCATGGGATGCTCCATCTTCCCCAGCATCATGGGATTCATGAACCACCTGGTACCTTGAGGTATGTATAAAAAAACATTTAAAGCTGTGTCTATGTCCAAATCATCGAATCTCTCTAAATCTCTCCAAATCAATTTGGAGGGATCTGATTCGATTTGGAGAGATTAATGGGTCTCCTGATTTAATTCAGATTCAGAGATTCAGCTGCCAGTCGGGGCAAATCTTGCTGAATTGAATCAGTGACCGAAGCTTTACACAGTCCTAGTTACTGGTTATAGGTAGGGTGACCATATGTCCCAGTTGGGCTGGGACTTTCACATATTCGGTAGTCTTGCAGTGCATCTACCTTGTTCCCATACAACATCAGTGGAGCCTGGCCAGCCACCTGCCTGATGCACCATGCTGCTCTGCCTGCCTGCTGTACTCAAGCCCAGGACTTTTGACCAATTGGCTTAGACCAGCGTACAGAATCCTGGTGTGTCCTGGTTAAACTAGGATGTAAGTTCACCCTAGTTATAGGCAGTCAGAATGGAGAAGGGGAGGAGATGCAGTAACATTGCTTTTTCCAGTGTTCCCACTCTCATGCATTAAGGGAACCTCCTTTCCCCTAGGTGTATCACTGGCACTGTATGATTCCTTGGAAGCTGAATCAGAATGACCTGTCACTGGTAGCATGCATGTAATGTATAGGCAGGTACAGGAAGTACATACCTGTGTGGGTGCTGCTACTCAGCTATTAGGGCTGTGCAGAGCAGGTAATATTTGATTCAACAACCATGTCAAATATTAAACCGGGTCCCACTTCGATTTGCCATCCGCTATGAGTTGAAGCGGGTCTGCTTCGAGTCGAGGTCGAAACTCAGTCGAATATTTGAGCTGCTTCGACTTCCCCATAGCCTATAATGGGGAAGGACGAAGCAGACTATAACTTTGGCATTTCTTGTCTGATCTTGATGAAACTTGCAGGAATGGTAGCTCCTGAGGAGCCCACAAAGCCTGCCAACTTTCAACAAGATGAAAGAGAAACTGCAAGAGAAACTGCACCCCAAATTCTTAAGAGCAAATCGCCTGTAACTTCTAAGTGCAAAGCCACAGGGAGCTCAAGCTTGCAGGAATGCTAGCTCCTGAGGAGCTCATAAAGCCTGCCAACTTTCACGGTGATAGGTGCAGGGGTTTGGGGGAAACTGCACCTTAGGCTGCTGACAGACAAAACTTGTGATCCAGATGGAGCGAGGAGGGCAGCATTCGCTCCATCTGCACCTGGCGCTTGGGGAAGCCCAGCAGTGGGAGGTTCACCTTGAGGAACACCAGCTGCTCCCGCAAACCAGGATCCAAGCTGGTGCGGTGGGGTGTCACTACATCCACAGCCATGCTGAACACCCTCTCGCTTGGCACACTGGTCGGTGGACAGGACAGGACAGGTATTCCCGGGCAACTGTGGCCAGATCTGGCCACATCGGGCTGCAGGTTGCCCAGTAGGCCAAGGGGTCACAGTCCAGGGGCTCCACAGGCTCAGCAAGGTAGGCAGACACCACGGTGTGAGGGCTGTCTGCCTGATCCTGGGGTCTGGTGGGTCTGGACCCCCTAATGTTTGCCGTGGCCTTAGCCCATATTGGCAGCGCCTGTGGTAGAGGGTAAGACTGGCTTGTGGGTGGTGGGCTGGGTTCAGGCAGTGGGTCTCCCTGTCCCACTTCTCCCCACCTCCGCCGCTCCTCCTCTGTCATTTTCTTAATAAGTACCTCCCTCCAGTGACTCAGTGTCTCGCTGTCACATATGGTGCTCTTCACCCTTGGGTCACAGATGGCGGCTAGCATATGCACTGTGTTGGACTCCAAGGGCTCAAGCCTTTTCCTCAGGCCTTCCTTCAGCTGCCTCACCAGTGCCTGCACATCTGGTGAAAGTGGCTTGCCCCAGCCAGGAATGATGGCCCCCAGGAAGCTCTCCATTTGGCTGCGGAGCTCCTTCACTATGGGGACCACCTGGCTGAGGAAGGCATCAGCAGCACTGAGGGTCTCAGTGGCCTTGAGGAAGGACTTGAGGACCAGCAAGATCTGGGAGATGGCATCCCATTCAGCTTTGGCCAGGGGGCCACTGATCCCAATCTCTCTAAGCAAGGCCAGCTTATGGATGGCCTTCTGTTGCTCCACCAGCCTCTCAAGCATCAGGTTTGTGGAGCTCCACCAAGTCTCCACGTTCTGGACGATTCTGTGCTGCGGGGCATTTAGCTCTGCTTGTTTGTCCCGCAGCATCTTGCCCCCCTTGATGCTCCGGTGGAAGTAGCCTGCCACCTTCCAGCATCTGGAAACAAGCCTGCTGG